TTGTCTGATATTAACTAAATGTTCCTTAATCTACTTTGCTATTTTTGTCTCCCCTAGGCTAAGAGTCTGTTTGGACACTGAAAAAGACATTCACTAAAGGCCCCAGTTTCAGATGTTCACCACAGCTAAACTAATTGGAATATCTGCCATTTGCTCCCATTATTGTGGAACCCTCAGGAGGAGAGGCAGAAGCTAGATTGAGCTGGAAACTCATGAGGATACCCAGGGCTACTGCTGCCACCACACAATGCCCACACAATTTAGAAGGCACCCAGAGCTTCATTCTTCTGTGATCTCACAGATGCTTGTAGACAAAACTCTAAATCTCTATCAAATTTGTCTATAGTTTAGCAACTCCATCCAATATTTTTGACTTCAAAAAGGGAAGAAGAGAAAAATCTACCTGTGGGAATAATTTGAATTTTTATAGATTCCCCCAAAGAATAAGACAATTCTTCCTTCTAGAGACAAGTAACAAAGTAATATCTGGAGATGGTTATTAACTTCTAGAATGAGTTTCTGTGATGTTGCTGGATTCATTTAGTCATCTGTGGGAGATGTGTGATGAATGTCATTACTGGCAGAGGAAACAGCAAGCAGGAGTATGGCCTGGCAAACCATGCAGCATGGTAACTGCCTGAACCTGTTCTTCCTCCTCCTGCACAACTGAGAAGTTTTTGTTAATGTTTTGTTTTTGTGTATATGTTTCCTGAATGTCAATTGTGTTTTCTTTATACCACTGAGGGAGAAATGTCAAAAACTACATACTTCATCTTCTAACCACAAAAATTAAAATAGGAAGACATACAGATCAAAGATGGAAAACAACCCCCCCACCCCCCCGTTATTGTTTCCTTAACATGGTAAATCAGAAATGAAGGCTGGAACAAGGATTCTTTGTAAAGATTCTGCTATGCTTCCAAAAGTGTCAATTCCCTTTTCCTCATTATTACTTTGGCTATTTGTTACAGAATGGGAAAATGAGTGGAGACAGATGATACACTCTGTATCAACAAGATACCAGAAAAATTATTTTGGAATATTGCATTTTTCAACTACAGCAATGTAATTTTTTTTACTGTTCAGCTACATGAAAAATTACCTAATTTGTTGAAATACATTTCGTGAACCACGTATAACTATCTACATTAAATGGTCTAATGTGCCGAAACCAGTTTGGCTAAGTGGATAGAGCGTTGGCCTGAGGACTGAAAGGTCCCAGGTTTGATTCCGGTCAAGGGCATATACCTGGGTTGTGGGCAGATCCCCAGTGGGAGATGTGCAGAGGGCAGCTGATCGATGTTTCTCTCTCATCGATGTTTGTAACTCTCTCTCTCCCTTCCTCTGTGTAAAAAAATCAATAAAATATATTCAAATGGTCTAATGTAATGCAATCTAACTAAATTAGCACCAATTAGACAGGCTAAATTAAAGGGCATTTCACTAATAAATTTTATGCTAAACATGATATTGCTAATAAGCTCACTAAAATGCATAATGAAATAAAATATTATTTTAGTCTAAATAATATCCAAAAGTCTTTAGTGTGAATATACCAAATAAAACCCTTACTTCCTCATAGAGAAATGGAAAAAAATATCTTGCTCTATTAACCATGGCTCTGCTTTGTTTTTATATTTGTTGTTATGACTTTTTAACAATAATTCTAAAACATTTCTCCTTGAGAGGACTCAGTTTCCTATCCTCTAAAAGATATAGGTAACATTGAGTAATATTCAAGTGTATTCTACAGCAGAGATAAGGTATAGTTTAAGAAGGTTATTACAAAGAACACAGGGTTTGGTATCAAGATACCAGATTCTAGTTGGTTTCAATTCTGCCATTTATTGGTTCAGTAACCTTTGTGACAGACCCAAAATGGTCTCAACAAGATATGTCCATGATCAATCCCTGGAATCTGTAAATAAACTTCTTTGGCAAAGGATGAGATTAGGTAAAGGATCTTCAGAAGAGGAGTTTATCCTGGATTATTTGGGTGGACTCAATACAATCACATTTATCCTTAAAAAAATCAAAGAAGTTTTAGGAAAGACACAAACAGAAGAGTAGAAGACACATACAATGCCTGGGCTGACCAGCAGACCCTGAGTGATGGATGAATGATTACTCTGATACCCAATTGCTGTAAAAGAGAGGGTTAAGGGGCTGCTTGGCTATAGGTACTAAACAGCCCTGTTCACCTACCTCCTCAGGTTTTGATTGTAACAGCAGCTTGAACTAAAATTAACTATTAGATACTGTCAGTAGGGTAAGCATCCTTGAGAAGACACATGTGTCTGCAGTGTCCTTTAAACAAGGATGTCTAAAGACTAAACATAAAGATTCCAGTAAAACACCTGGGGGCTTAGACATGTTTGGAAAAGTCAGGGCAGCGACAGTTGCTTTCAGCCAACTCCTGTCCCATGCCTCCCCACATTACAACAATAGAGAAAACAATTATGTAAATATGGAAGCAGAGAGTGTGGTGATGGGGCCATAAGCAAAAACTGCTGGAAACCACCAAAAGCTGAAAAATACAAGGAATGATTCTTCCCTGGACCCTACAGAGGGTCTTGCAGATACCTTCATCTTGGACTTTTCATGCTTTTAGAACTATTGGAGAATAAATATTTATTGTTTTAAGCTATTGAGTTTGTGGTAACTTGTTACAGAATCTATAGGAAACTAATACAACCTTGTACCTCACTTTGCTCCGCTAGCAAATGGGATTAACAATGTGCACCTCCCAGATTCAATGTGATAAGCTTGCAAATAAATGATAATAACAAAAGGTAGTGCTTACATAGCACTTACATGTGCTATTGAGAAAGGCAAAGAGCATGCTAGCCCAGGGTCATTAATATTAATATGTTAGTTTCAGTAGTTTTAATTTTATAAGCTATTTTCAGATACCACAATGGAACATTCATCTCATTGGTATAACTTGCAGGAATTTGTGAACCAAAAGAAATGGGCAACTCTTTCCTGGCCACATAATCAATTTTTGTAACAAATGCCTTTCCTGATATCAACCATATCTAAATGGACAAAAAGTGCTATACTAACCTGTAGAGCTTTTCACTAAAGGCAGATCCATTTGCATGAATAATCATTTAAAATAATGATTTCTTGATTGTGCGTAATAAAAATAAATCAAACCAAAAAAATCTGAACTACCAAATCAATAAAAATTACTCTGTAGGTTTCAGTCCAATATAGTCCAACTCACTCTTTCTGATCACTCAAATGACCCCCAAGGTTAATTGCATGAAATAGTTACTGATTTTTTTTTCTGCCATTTGGCCTAAGAACAAGAAACAGCACTTGGAAACTGCTCTGCAGAGAGTAGCCCATCTCATTAGTTATGAACTGCACTCCAAACCCACTGGTCTGAGGCCAAAGAAACAAAAATTTCCCCTAAGCAAAACCAATATGTTCCCATAAATATGAGGGAAAAGGGAGCTAATTCTAGAATGGTAGAGGTTGTTCTTAGGCAGTCTGATTTTTTTTAAAGCAGTGGCTATTAGTATTATACTAGCAGTATCCAAGTATATAGTAGCCTGATATAAATCTGGTGAAAAACAAGAAAGTTTAATTAATAAGGGAGGAACATAGGATTTGAAGTCAGCACAGTGAGAAGGAAGAGAGAAAGCAGAGGAAAATATAAGATGGTTGAAATGCTTGTGATTAAGCATAGGAAAACTGTGTGGGTCAATAAGAAACTCTCTGAAATGGATTTTTCTCCCCCAAAATCAAGACACTATGTTAAATAGCATGTTGGAGCAGAGTAATCACATATCTCTCACATTCTAACCCTTTGTAAAATAAAGACTTCTGACTCTGCTTGAGAGAGGCCTAGCTTCCTGAACATTCAAGGACCCCTTCTTCCTTGTTTTCTATATTGTTCTAATATGGAAGGACTCTGTAGAGACAACATACTTCCTTAGATAATTTTCATCCTACACAAAGACAAAAACTACCTTCTGTCCTAGTTTCCACCATAAAATCTCCCTGCTTTAAGGGCTCCTGAAATGAAACCTGATTTAACCAAACCTTTTTTTTTTTCAACAGCAGTTTACATCTCTATAGTATACTCATCATTTGCATTTGCCATTCTGATTAATTCTCTCCCCAATTTTGCATATTTGTAGGTTGAACCTCATTTTCTACTCAGAAGCTCTTCACGAGTATCTGTGAAATTACCCTGGGCCTAATTTTGTTTATAAGAGGTTAGTTAATAAGAGCTGGAAACAGCCTTTATTGAAGGGTTACTGTCTTCCATAGAGATTTGAAAAAAATGTAACCACAAACTAATGTACAGTCACTGTCACTTTCATAGTTTCCCATTCTAATTGCTTCCTTTAGAAAAGATACACAATGTTATCTTATGACAAAAAAGTGTCATATTTATATAAAATTTAAAGGTAACAACATAATGATAACAAAAAGAAGACCCTACGTAACCCCACACCTAGAAATTATTAGAATTGACATCTTGGTGTATGATATTCTAGTGTTTTTGTGTGTTTGTTTACAAAAATAATTATACCGTATATAACCAATTGCTACTTTTTTTTTGGTTGTTAAATGATCTTTAATTGAAACATTTCCTTTGCAGTTCTTAACTAGTTGAGTATTCCACTACACCACTGTTGATATCATCTATGACAGCGGTTCTCAACCTGTGGGTTGAGACCCCTTTGGGGGTCAAACGAACCTTTCACAGGGGTCACCTAAGACCATCGGGAAACACATATATAATTACATATTATTTTTGTGATTAATCCCTATGCTTTAATTATGTTCAATTTGTAACGATGGGAATACATCCTGTATCTCAGATATTTACATTATGATTCATAACAGTAGCAAAATTACAGTTATGAAGTAGCAACAAAAATAATTTTATGGTTGGGGGTCACCACAACATGAGGAACTGTATTAAAAGGTCATGGCATTAGGAAGGTTGAGAACCACTGATCTATGATGACATGAGGGTGTCAGTCATCAACATAGCAGTCCACAGACTGGGCAGTACCTAGGATCTCTTTAATGGTTCCAGGGAGTTCTCTAGCTAAAGATTGGTCCTGCAACTGTCCGGCAATGCTGACTATCTCATCAAAAGTGATATTTCCCCATTTGTTTATTTTCTTCTTAGTTTCCATTGCCCTAGGAGCTATATTGGTAAAGATATTGCTATGACAAATGTCTGCTATTTTGCTGCCTATGGATTCTTCTAAGATTTTTATGGGTTCTTGTGCCAATACCAGGAAGTTTTGAGAACATTGGCTTTGTAGTATGATTTTATATCTGGTATTGTGATCCCACCAACATTGTTCTTTCTCAGGAATGCTGCAGCTATTTGTGGTCCCAAAATAAAAAAGCTTCTGCACAGCAAAAGAAACCCTCAACAAAACAATAAGAAAGCCCACTGCATGGGGAATATACTTGCCAATGTTATGTCCGATAAGGGTTTAATCTCCAAAATTTACAGTGAACTCATACAACTTAACAAAAGAGAGATAAACAAGCCAATCAAAAAATGGGCAAAAGACCTAAATAGACACTTTTCGAAAGAGGACATACAGAAAGCCAAGAGACATATGAAAACATGTTCAAAGTCACTAATCATCTGAGAGATGCAAATCAAAACAAAAATGAAGTACCATCTCACATCTGTCAGAATGGTTATCATCAACAAATCAACAAAGGACAAGTGCTGGAGAGGATGCAGAGAAAAAGGACCACTTGTGCACTGCTGGTGGGAATGCAGACTGGTGCAGCCACTATGGAAGACAGTACGGCATTTCCTCAAAACATTAAAAATGGAACTCCATTTGACTTAGAAATCCCACTTCTAGGAATATATCCCAAGAAAACAGAAACACCAATCAGAAAGGATATATGCACCCCTATGTTCATAGCAGCACAATTCACCATAGCTAAGATTTGGAAACAGCCTAAATGCCCATCAACAGATGAGTGGATTAGAAAAGAGTGGTACTTCTATCTACACAATAGAATACTATGCTGCTATAAAAAAGAAGTCATTCTTACCATTTGCAACAGCATGGATGGAAACTGGAGAGCATTATGCTAAGTGAAATAAGCCAGTCAGTGAAAGGAAAATACCATATGATCTCACTCATTTGTGGAATATAATTAACATTATAAACGAATGAACAAAAATAGATACAGAGGCAAAGAAGCATCGAACGGACTGTCAAACTACAGTGGGAAGGCTGGGGAGGATTGTGGGGGTAAGAGATCAATGGAAGGATCTTTATGCATGCATATAAGCATAATCAATGGCTGGAAGACAGTGGCGGAGGGCAGGGAGGCGATGTGTCATGCAGGTAGGGGAGGCCCGGGGAAGGTCAATGGGGAAAAAAAGGAGACATAAGTACTACTATTTGTAATATTTTAAACAATAAAATAAAATAAAAATTTTAAAAAGTGATATTTCCACTCCACTTAATGTTTTTTTCTTTTGATTCGTTCTGCCCCTTGATAGTTCTTTGAGGGTTTTGATAATCAGGGCAGAGGCAGAAGGCACTGCTACTTTAATCTTTGCCAGTCTGTTCTGAATGGTCAGTTTCTCTATAATCCTCAGACCCTTCCAATCACTGGTTGCTTTGCTGATGTCATCACCAAACTTTTTAGGAGATAGACCCAGTGGGCGGATCATGGGGGCCAGCACAGACATAGCACTCACTTCCCTACCTGGGCAACTCAAGTATACAACTTGATTTCATTGGGGTCGAACTTAGATTTCAGGTGTACACCTTTGATTTCCTTGGCGGCATGGTGGAGGCGGCATGGTGGAGGCAGCATGGTGGAGGTGGCATGGTGGAGGCAGTCGGATGAACCCGGATTCCGGAAGATGGAAGAAAGTTGCACCTGAGCCTCCTCGGAGATGAAAGACCTTAAGGCGCTTCAGCTGTGCCAGATATATCCCAATTGCTTCTTTATCAATGAATGGATGATTGGTTATCATTATATAGGCATTGGCAAAAGTAGGTTTATGATTGTTTTTATGGGAAATAATACAATAATTAATAATATAAAAAGCTATTTTGCATACTCAGAACTGTAAATCTACTTTTGCCCATCCCTTTATTTTGTCTCCTCATCTTAATATTGGTTTTGATTTCACAGTACTATAACTCTGAGACAAATAAATAAATGTAAAGGCATCTGTTTTCTCATATCCAATTCTAACCTTAAATATGTCATTTCTTCATTACCTTCAATTATTTGTAAATTTCTAATAAAAAATCATCATACAGATATCATTAGAGAATAAACAGATTGCATTCCAAATATATTTTGAAAGTTTTTTAAAATATATTTTTATTGATCTCAGAGAAGAAGGGAGAGGGAGAGAGAGAGATAGAAATGAGAATCATCGATCAACTGCCTCCTGCACACCTCCTAGGAGGGATCAAGCCCGCAACCCAGGCATGTGCACTTGGCCAGAATTGAACCCAGGACCCTTTGGTCTGCAAGCCAACACTCTATCCACTGATTCAAACTGGCTAGGGCTGGAAAGGTTTTTAATTTAAGTTTTAAAATAACCAAATATTATACCTGAAATTCATAGGATGCTCCCCTTGGGGAGTGGGGGTAGGACCCTTCACAATGTAGACCACTCTTCTACAGTAATCACATAGTATTTTTATATAGCTAATGTTATATAACATCATTTTGCCAATCTTTCCTCTTAGATTCTAAATTTCAAACATCCATGCTTTTGGATGTCTCTATAATCTTTTCTTCATGGCTACACACTGTAATTCATACGGGATGAGAATTCAAAGTTGTCAGTTATCTGAGAATTTTTAAGGTATCAAACATCACCTTCTAAATACATTTATATTACATATCAAAAACAAAACATGAGTGATTTAGTCTGAAAAAGTCAGTATGGTTCATTAACCAAAACTGTAGAAAGCAAGTGTCAATTGTATTGCCACATCAAATGTATGTTGAGATAATTACCCTGAAAAGAGATGCCCATAAAGGCAGTGAAATGTGACCTATTAAATCAGGCTGTAACTTATTATGGGTCAAAAAACATTTGTAGGGCCAGCAGTCTCCTGCCCATACCTAGTCTTGCATGAATTCTGCAGGTGTCTTTTGCAAGTAAACTTTCTATCTGTCTTTTCATTTCAAACTGGGGTCTTGTATTCCTACCTTCACCACTCTCAGCTATCAGAGATACATGTATGCACTTCAAAGAACTAATTGCCTACTTAAAATTAAGTCCCTTGAAATCTATTGGCAAAACCAGCATAACAACAGGCCAAGATCATGCTGTATTAAATAAGCAGGGAGTCATTTGGGTTCACTTTCCTGTAAGTTATCCACTTGTTAATGCTTTGTAACATTGATTTCCATCTCCAAATGCAACATCTGTTACATGGAGAGAGCAAATGAATCAGCAATCAGATTGACTGAGGATCACCCAGTGTGGGAGAAGAATAAATATTTACTTCAGTACTCTCTTTATTTGGATTATTGCCAGTCCCAACACAGATATGAAGGTGGTGTGGCTAAAAGGTGACATCTATTCTGGGAATTCAATCGGTCGAAGAGATGATCATTACCAGGCAATACAATGTAACATTAAAGGCCATCTTTTTGCAATTACAGATGGAAAAGAGAAAAAGAATCCTATCTAATAAAGAGATAATATAAAATTGACCATAACCCCAACACACAAGATGGCTGCCCCCATGTGGTCAAAGATGGCCACCCCCATGTGGACACAAGATGGCCACCACAAGATGGCCTGCAGGGGAGGGCAGTTAGGGATGACCAGGCCAGCAGTCCTGGGTTGTGAGAGAAATATCCGAATGCCCACTTGGATCAGGCCTAAAGGGGCAGTCGGACATCCCTCAAAGAGTCACCTGGACTGTGAGAGAGGGCAGGATGAGCTGAGGGATTCCTCCCCCCACCTCCAGTGCATGAATTTTCATGCACCAGGCCTCTAATATATATAAAAATGCATAAGCAACTGGCCAAATGGTCGACCAGCCATACAGAAAACTGGCCGATAGCTATGACACACACTGACTACCAGGGGGCAGATGCTCAATGCAGGAGCTGCCCTCTGGTGGTCAGGGCGCTCTCACATGGGAGGAGCTCTGCTCAGCCACAAGCCAGGCTGATGGCTCCCAGTACAGTGGTGGTGGTGGGAGCCTTTCCTGCCTTCTCAGCAGCGCTAAGGATGTCCAACTGTAGCTTAGTCCTGCTCCCCGCTGGCAAGTGGACATCCCCTGAGGGCTCCCGGGCTGCCAGAGGTATGTCTGACTGCCAGCTTAGGCCCAATTCCCCAGGGAGCAGGCCTAAGCCAGTAGGTGGTCATCCCCTGAGGGGTCCTGGACTGCGAGAGGGCACAGGCTAGGTTGAGGGAACCCCCCGAGTGCACAAATTTTTATGCCCTGAGCCTCTAGTATATTTATAAGGAGAAAATGCTGGTCTTGGTCCTATTCTTGGCAGATCAGGTTCTTCTGTAATAGGACATGCTTCACTTGAAAACTGATATTTCCTTCTCTTAGATGACACAGAGAAGTTTAGTCTTAGGTACACAGTAATCCTGTTTTGCAGCATCCATTAACATCACCCACACAGAGAGCTCAGGGGACTCAGTGAATAGGTAGTTGTAGTCAGAGCTAAGGTTTCAGCAGTGACAGGATACATAACAGTATCATAATGAAAAAAAAAAGTCATAGGCAGCAGAATACATTTGTAGGCTTCCTTAAGTTCTGCCCTTCCTATTAAGGGCCACACAGAGCAGATTCTGCCCCAATGGTAAAAATGTAGTCACATGAATGCAATGCTTTAGCCCCGGGAAGCCCATTAGGCATATAGCACTCGAGGTTTTCATTTAAGGCTGGTCATGTGGGTACTATCTGCCTAGCATGTACCAAAATTCCACACTCTCAGAAAGAAAAGCAGATATTCAGCATAAATCCTATTGTTTGCAGAAACAGTCTAGTGTAGGCACAGTGAGCCAGATTTTTCAGTTAAGAAATATCTTCAATGCCAAGTTCCCAGAGGCCAGCCAAGGGCAGAGCTTGCAAGCAGTCTCTTCTAAAGATTATGGTTTCAGTACTGCAAATTTAACCCTTTGCAGCAGAAATACATTTGCATTGAAACATATTTACATTATATGAAATTATAAATAAATTCAGTGTCCAACTGAAAAGTCATCATAAATAGTTCACAGAAGTCTCTGTGTTAAAATATATTTGTGAGCAGTCCTCACGAAGGAGTGAGAAGCCTTCCCTGTTTAGGTTCTTCAAATGTTCTAAGACTTCTGTGGGGCCTTTCCAGGCTACAGATCATCTCTTCTATTTTTCAATGGGTCATGGGTTACCTTGCAATATTATTATGCAATTTAAAGTTGCATGAGATTCTACCCTTTTGTTTATAACTTGATTATATTTCCTCTACTTGTAGCACCTCCTGATCTTGAAACTACACATCTCTCTAACTCTACAATTACAAATCCCACTGATACTTCAAAGTTCAGATCAAATATAATTTACTACTTCTGAAATGATCCCCAAAACTCTGGCTAGAGTTAATCTGTACCTTTCATTGGAGCTTCTACCTTAATCTATGGTTATGTGTGTGCACATCTTGTTACATGCTTGGTTTTCCCTCTGCAAGCTGAATGAAGACAGGGCCCAGTCCAATCATGATAAGTTTCTGTACTCTCCAGTCTTTACCCCATCCCACACCACTAATGTTTAATGCAGTACTTGCACATAGTATGCACTGAGCAAATGTATGTTGAATGGCTGGCTGGCTGAATTGTCTGGAAAGATTTTGAATTGGTCCAAATAAATTGTGCCAATAACTAGACTTAAAAAGAAGATATGGAAAGCTCTGCCTACAGTAGCAGGAATTTCAATGCTATAGAACCCCTTTTACTTGAATGCAAAATGTACTTCCTTTAAATGATCTTTCCATTTGGACAATTGGAAATCTGGGAACATTTCTTGGAAATCAGCCCTAAATTCAACATTAGAGTAAAATGAGACAGGTATGGATTTTGAATCTCTTGATATAAAGAGTACTGAGTCCAAAGAGCATCATTTCTCACATTACTCCAACAATTCTGGCTTTCTTCCAAAATGCTCAGAATGTCTGTCCTGGATTCCCACTGAAACTACAGCTCCTGGAGGGAAATAGTAGTCAAGTCTAGGGTAAAAGATTAGGACTAAAATCTTTGTCCCCAGTGTACTAATAAATGGCTCTACATTTCTAACCAAGTTACCCAGTGACACACTTGGGCATAAAGCACAATGTACTTAAAACCTGTTTAGCGTTTTATCAATAGGGAGCAAAAATCTATCACTGTTAGCACTGCCTGCTACCTTATAACTTTGGTTTCTTATAGGTTAACATACTTATCATTTTTTAAAATATATTTTATTTATTTTTTACAGAGATGAAGGGAGAGAGATAGAGAGTTAGAAACATCGATGAGAGAGAAACATTGATCAGCTGCCCTCTGCACATCTCCCACTGGGGATGTGCCCACAACCGAGGTACATGCCCTTGACCGGAATCGAACCTGGGACCCTTCAGTCTGCAGGCCGACTCTCTATCCACTGAGCCAAACCGGTTTCGGCAACATACTTACCATTTGTGAAAACCACTCATGCTGCTACAGTTGCCTTTTATACAATG